ATGTCAGCTTTGTAGAGAGTGAGGTGGTTGATGTCTGCTATTTTACTAAAAAAACCCTGAAAATCTATTAAACTGAAAATGTCAAAGCCTTGAAAAAAATGAATACAATAGGAAATATCAAGAGCTTCTTATAAAGGTACAAGGTTGCTAATACTCCAGTGACTCTATTCCATTAGCACATAATATATGACTTTTGGAAGGGACATTTTAATGATGTGCTTTATGCAGAAGAGATTTCAAACAGATCCCAAAAGCTCAACATGAAGATAAAAACTGAGTTTTACATGTTGAGGTTTTAGAATATATCCTAAAAATTCTTTCTCCCTGTCCCATACAGATATTTTTACTTAGTGCATTGAGTAGTTTTCAAGCCTTCCTAATCTTGCTTCAGGTTCTTAAGCTTCTTGGGAGCTTGGGTTTCAACAGTCTGCTCCACTGACTACTGTACTTACTAAAACCAGCTTTTAGAGCAATGCTGATTATTTTACCTAACAAAGAATAGGGATAAGTTCTTAACTGCAACAGCCCTCAGGGAAGTGTGGATGGGCACCACTCTGCTGGCATAAGGGAACAAGGCACAATATATAGGTTTGCTTCCAAGACTGGTCCAGTCTGAGGTGATGTGCAGAACACAGATTGATTTAGCACCTCCTCCTGGGACAAACTCCACCCTCCACTGCAGTCAGGCCCCAACCATGAAATTTTGCTTTCATGAGCCCAGAGGTCAGCACTTTTCATTCGCTATTTATAAAGAAAAATATGGGAAGCTCAGCAGCTGAAACTGGGAAACAATTTTCATACATTGTCTAATTATTTCCACAAGCTCTGCTTCAACTTATGGCTAGACATTTTATTTTAATTTTTCTGTTCAGCAGTTACAGCACAGTTCAGCCCAAGTCTGGAAGTCCTAACAGGAAACATTAATTGATATATGAGACCTTACTATATTCTACTACCTTCTAAAAGAGACTGGGGAAACTGGAAGAACATTTAAATATTAAATAGAGGATTTTTCTTTTCCAATATTTCAGAAAAAGCTATCATTTTACAGATTTTGTAATTTGTTAGTACAACTTAAGTCCAAAATAAGATGGGTGAAAATAGACCTGCTTTCTCCTGCTCAGATTGTCCTAACCAAGACAGTCTTTACCTTTGTGGTGCTCACTAAGTGCCTTCTCTGGCAACACTGAAGTCAATGGAAACTTTGCTGACGAATTCAAAAGCAAAGGCTCAGAGCCAAATTCCCCATGTATAACTTCAGCCTTACAAAACATTCTGCAGAATTATATAAACAGCAATAATTTTACTCAGAAGGCAAGTCTCTACCCCAGAGCAATTATTGTACTTGCCCCAGCAGCCCAGAATTTCTGTCATGCATTCATTTTCAGGATGCAAAACACTACAGTGGGTAAGAAAACAGTGTGCAGCTCCTACATAAAAAGCTTTCCCCACCACCACTGTTTGTCATATCAACTTTTCAAGCCCTTTGCTGGTAGCAGAAATTCCAGTAACTAATCCAGTGGGCTATATTTTATAGCCATGAGATTGCAGCTCTCTTTGGACAATCACCAGGCATATTTACACATAAATTAGGGGACAGCAGTGACTCTAAAGCATGTATGTGCATCATGACAAAACATAAAATATGCTTTAATTGGGGAAAAGACTTCCAGGTTTACATACTCACTTGACATATGTTAGATGGCAGGTTTGCAGGCTTCACCCCTGCAATCCCTGTTAGCATAAGGATCATATTCTACAGACTTTACTTGTCCAAACCACAGATCTCTACAGATGTCTACAATGCTATAGGTCCCTGATTACTTGTGATACCTAAAGATTTTGTGTTTTTTTCATATTTTAAGGATAGGTGAAAGTTCTAGCACTTTAGAAATCTAGCATTCTTGATTTCAGCTATGAAAAGGAGGTGTGTGGCCTTTGCTGTTGGTTTTGTTTCAGTCTTTTAGATATTTAATAAATTTGGAAATTCCTAAGTAAAATATAATTCTCAGTTTGTTTTTTGAGATTGTGAAATTAATGATGGACACACTGAAATTAACCTAAAGGAACAGAAATATAAAGCAAAAAACCCATTACATCTACCTGCTTAGATTAGAGGATTAAATCCAGGGATGCTATTAGATCCGAAGCTCTCCATCAAAACCTGAGATTACAAGTCCACTTGCTCTAAATAACAAATCTCTCTCTCCTTTTCAGAATCCTTAGAATCTACTTTCCAGGAAGGGAAAGTGAGTTATTATTTCAAAGCACTACCGTAACAGTCACAATCTTAAGCGCTTTCCACTGCAGCTCTACACATGTACATAAGCAGCAATTCATGTCTTGAGTCACTAGTTTGGAAGCTTACAGAGATCCATCACCCACTCAGATTTCCTTTCTGTCAGTGATACTGAGATCCAAAACATCTCTTTGACCCACTTTTCAAAGGAAGCACAGACACAGAGCACATCACAAGGAAATTCTTCTACTTAGTTTACAGGAAGGCTGCAAGTTAGGACAGCAAAAAGATGTATCTCTGCCCACAAGTCCCCCAGATCTTTAAATAGCCCACAAACCTTGAAACAGCAAAGATCTTCTTTCCCCTTCCACTCACAAGCCATTTCATCCTCCTTTTTCCTGGACTTACACACTTCTCTAGGAACAGCAAATAGAGGAGGAAGGAGAACTCCATGTGAGGAACATACACATACGACCCATGAAAGGAGAAGCTCTCACGTATGTCCCTCCCAGGTCCAACTCGCTGTACCTCACTGCCCATACTCTGTCCTAACTAACTTTTTTAAAAGTTATTTGACACCAAATTATCCTTGAAAGCTGTCAGGAAGCAGACAGATTGAAAGTAAGATGGAAGCAGCTGGGGCTAAACATTGGACTTATGAATTTGGCTGCTAGATAATTCTTAATTTCCAATGTTTTGGTCCCAGATAAATAGGACTATACTGATTAAAACTGACCCTGACATATAAAAAGACAGGCAGTAGGGAGGTATACAGGTTTCATGCTCACAGACAATTTAGAACTTAATCCAGAAGAGTGTGAAGTAGATGGGTTTCGAAAAGTTAAATACAATGAAAATCCTAGGTACTTATCAGTGCTGATGCTAACAATATTCACCGTGAAAAAATAAGTAACTTGTACTTTCTGTATTAAATTACACTTTTGTCATCATAATACCTTTACTGAAGATAAATTTACACATAAGTAGTTCATTATATATTCTAAGTTACAAAATAAAAAAGAATTGTGTGAAATAATAATAGTAGCTGTTGAAGTGCTAAATCATTTATTAGAAATATATATTTGGTTCAGTATTGGAGGACTCAGACACATATTAGTTATCCCAACACTTACACATTGTTAAAAATAAGTAATGGAAATTTAAACACATTCTAGAATACCACACAAAGTTATACATCCTTGCACAAATCGAAGGATACACGAGCAAAGTAATACATGCAAGACCAACAAATCAGAACGGGGGGTCTTTGGAGGCAAGAAATACAAGAACGTTACATAAGTGAGGAGCCTCGGTATTCAGCATTTCATATATTGGACTGAGTCTTAATTCCCACTCTTCTAATAAACTTATATTTCTGTGAGTTGTATCATTAAATTATTAAGCTCCAAGTGTGGTATAATTGTTGATTTGGGAACCTATTGTTGATTAAAAACATGAAGGTCACATTTAGAAATTTAACCTAAGAGTACTAAGCTGTTCACTAATGATACTCCAGAGAAAAACAAAAGTAAAATTACTACAAGTTTTGCAAGAAGATCTGAAATGCTTTAACAAGTAAGATTCATTTATCACCATCTCTTGAAACTGAATGAAGAAAACTTACACTAAAGTGTACACAACACCTACCATATGAAATGTAAATGCAGTAACTGTCAGCACTCATAAGAACACTGTCTACACTCAGAACTCCAAATTCACCCAATCTCTGCATGGCAGAAACTAAAAAGTATCTAATCACTGCAGAGATGGAAATTCACCACTGATTGCAGAGAATTTCACCAGGTGAAGCCGTGCTATGCAGATCATCTCACTAACACAAGTTGTTAGTAACAGAAACCTAAGCCTTCAATTTCAGCTATCACTTCCTTGCACTGACCTCATTCTTTCATGTTGTTTACATTCTGCTGTCTGGAGCAAAAGAAGACCTTAACATACACATTAGTAAGACAAAATTGTGTTTTAGTTTGTCAAGGAAATTAAATACACTTTAGTGCAGGGTACCTACCAAAAAACACAGATAAAACTTAAAACCAAAATATCAGGAAAAGCAAATAATGAGATTTTTCTGTACTAAAGGAAACATGCTTTAACACTTGAAGATATTTGTTTTTCTCTGTACAGCATTTCAATTAAACACAACTTTGTGGTATTAATTCACATCTAACAGGACTAAAATAGACTGTATAAAGAAATGGCTCTGGAAATGCCTTTTTAAAAGATAAGTTCCAGACCAGGTAATCCACGAACATGAACCAGTCCGGCACTGTTAAAAGCATGAGGAAGGGAAAGTCATACAATTAAAAAAAGAAAAAAAAAAAAGAAAAAGAGAAATCTGTCAATCTGAGATTTATCTGTTTCTCCATAACATGTATTGCTCCTAAGACCCTCTCTTGGTCAGCACAATACAGATGACAGTATCTGTGAATCAGGTTGCCTTGAATTACTGACTACATACCTTTATTAATCAAGTCTCAGTATAATTAACACAGCTTTTTCTTTTCCATTCTTGTATAGTCCCAAACCATTTGTAAGCAGTACGAGGTTGCATCGACTACACCCAGATTTTAAGCAGCTAAAATCTGACAAAGAGGTAGAATTTGAAGAGGGTGGGGGAGAAGAGGTAAAGAACCAGCTCCACGGTATCACAAGAACAAGGTACTGTACCTTTAAGGAGGAAAAATGGTTCCGTTCTGTTTCACGGCTGAAAAAGAGCTAATTCCTGGTTATAGAGATTACTTACCTAAAACTTCAGTTATTCCTCTCTTTCCCCTCGGGCCAGCCTCTCTTTCACTCTTGGGAGCTTTTACCATTTAAGGTCAATGTTACATCTGGCTGTAGTAACTAAAGCTGAAGCAATTTTTAACTCAGAGATCCAACAGGCTGCCTAACATTAGAATGAGAGTTTAAATTTAAAGTAACTCTTCAGAAAGCTTTTCTTGTCTCAGAGAATTACAGAATTAAAGGCTCTCCTATTCTGGCATAAGTGCTCTGGGTACAACATGATGCAGACATCCCATTAGCATTCTTCAAGTTCAGTGCATATAAGCTCTACTTACTCATTTCTGATTAAAATGGGCAAGTAGGAAGAACAGATGAAACAGTTTACATCATGTTATTTTAACCCTTAGAATATTTTACTGACACAGATGCTACTATTTTTCATTCCTCTCCCCCTCCCTTTGTTTGGTCAGAAGGAGTCTAAATTAGAGAGCAAATAGAAGGCATGTGAACTTTTAAAGAACGCTGGCTTCAGTCCAGTCATGGGCTCTGCTCTCCACTTGCAGAGTAGGAATAATTCCCAATGAAATCCACAGAATTTGCTTGTATCCCATGAGAGAATGTAGCCACAAATGAGGTTTGGGGAGGGAAAAGAAACCCAAAACCTTTACCACAGTACATTCAGGTACCTACAGAGCAATCACATGCGTGTGATTCAGAGCTCTCAGCTCTAAAATGGACTGAGATTTTACTTCAGCCCTTTAGCTACTTTAGACTATTTACATATGAGTATTACAATAACATCACAGATCCTAACTAAGAGTTCTCTAATGCCAGGTGCTGGGAAGTTATTAAATGTAAGAAAGCCAAACCCAGTCCAAAAATCCTTTCACAATTGAAGTAAAGACAAGAGAAAAGAAGATGGGTTAAAAAAAAATTTAAAAAAATAAAAAAAAGGCAGCAGATTGCATGTAAAATTATTGGATAGTAAGTTTTTCAGGGGATATATTAGGGTTGTTCTAAGAGAAAGCAGCAAATGATACTAAATTAACTGCCTTTTGACAGTGGCTGATTAGATCAGTAATGGAGAAACAAACCAGACAAAGGAAAGTTAGGATTTGATGATTTGACTTGGAAAACACCATCAGGGACTGGTGCATGGCTTGTAAAAATGGGCAAAGATGAGTTGATGGCAGCATAGCACAGAAAATAAGAAGCTGAGCACCTGCTTTGTGCCACATCATGTTTTAGCTGGCATTAGAAAGTCTATTGTTCTACACTTAAGACATTCAATAATACATAAAATCAACATAGTGAAAAAAGACTGAACAACTTCTCTAAGGTCAGTGCTTAAGCTTTTTCCCCACATAAAAGGAGTAGCTAGGTTTTCCCAATACCTTTTCAGGTATTGAGGTCTAGTCCTTGACACCATTACTGATTCTGACAAGGCATTTTAGGACACCTCCTTTCATCTTTTTGAATTTCTACTTCATTACCTAAAAACTCAAGTTCTGAAATAGCCTCTTATGACTCAAACTGGTTTCAGTCTCCCATCTAGCTATCAGCAGCTACAGAATTTTTATTAGCATGTGTCATTCACCATTTTTCAGTTTTGTTACCTTAAATTTCTAGGCCACAAGTGTCAAATGCTTCATTTGTCTACAACAGAAGTTGTGTTTCTGTTAAATCTATTTTCATCCCTTTTTAGAGCAACAACTACTTTGAACCCAGTTTGGGCAAGAACAAGTTGTTTACTGTCTTTCAGCATTACTGTCCTCTGGGAAATAAAACTTTTCACTGAAGTTGTGCTTGTTCATTGGTCTAGCATCCTGCAACCACTGCTGGCCAAATTTAGCCCAAATTTCTTAAAGTAATTGAGGCCTCACAATATTTTCAGGTTCCCAGAGAGTTAGTGAAACCAGTGCTTGTAAAGAAGATTTAAGCTACTGCACCTGCTATGGGGAAAACCTGTGGTGGCAAAGTTCAGTTTTATGTTGTTTGGCCCCTCCACTTGCACCAAACAAACACAACTCCTGCTGTCTAGGCAGGATTTAGGGAGCACAGAAGGATCCTGGAGGTACTCACAAGAGGAGGAAAACAAAGCTTCCATCAATCTTCTGCTCCTCAAACTGCTTTGTATATTCCACTGTATGGCTTTGGCAGATCCTTTGCCCAGAGATTTGTTCAATGTGAACGTTTTCAGGCCAGACAGAGAGGAAAGCTGCTAGCTAAAATTTAAATTATTGAATGAGGAAACATTAGCAGCTAAAATTTAATTATTTCAACTAGATTGTTAAAATTCTATAAAGAAGGCATAGTAATGTGTACCAGATAAAAAAAGTAATTTGTTTGCTTTGTTTTTTTTAAGATCTGGTGATATTTGTTTTGTTAAAAACATTCTAATACAGATGGCTTGGCCACTCCCCCATAACACAACATATTTATGTTGCCAGTATTCCAGTATTGTATACCCCTGGGAGAGCATGAAGTTATTTTTTTGTAAGTATTTTGAAGTATTTCAGAGTAGCTAGATGCAGTTACATATGGCTTGGTGGTTATGGGATGTGTGTGCCCCCATCCCACACCATTTAACTTCCCATTTCCCTGGTTTTCACAGCTCTGTGACCTATGAAAGCAGCAGTGCAGGAGCAGCAAATTTAACACAGCAATGTTAAGTTTCCTGGGTTGGGCTCCTCAAGCTCTAAGTTTTTTATTTGTACCTTTATGGAGGTGAAAACCAGCACTAAATACAAGCACTAAAATTGTTATCATACTGAAGCAATGGAGAGTTCTGCCTCTCAGGCTGAAGCAGAGGTAAGAATCCTTACAGGCAATTCATTTTTGGAGCACAACCATTTTCAAGCACAAGCTTTGTCTAGGAATAGCAGAAATGTGATCTTTATTTTTGAAGATTTTATGCTTCAGGACTTAGATACTTTGCATTAAAATGTTATTTATGATCTTTCCTGCACATATGTAATAGCCATCCATAATGGCAAGTCACGATTACATGCTCTATTTTTTATCCAGTGACTAAAGTAAAAGGATTATTCATCAGAGAGGATAAAAATTTGAGGTAGAAGTGATAACATTTGCACTTAAAACTGGAGTTCTAGGACACGATTTTTCATGCTCCAATTTAAAAGCACCTCAAAGTTGTTTTCATCAGTTAAAACTTCACTTGCATCACACTTACAACACGTCTCTGTCCATCTCAGATCCACCTCACAAATAACAACATGCATTGACAGTTTTCTTTATTGAATCATCACCACCAGCTTGTTTGTCAATTGTATGGAAAATTAGCTGAGTTAAAGTTTACACCAAATTTTTGCTGTGTCCCTTTGTTTTCTTGCACAGAACATTTTTCCAAATTTAAATATTTAGTACTGCATCAGATTTATGTTTTCAATGGCTTTTCTGGCTTCTATGTTGCTACCATCATAGTGCACACAAAACTGAAATCACCTTCTCTCATCTGATGGCACCCATTACGCAAATCTTATTTATGTATGCAATTATTATCTGCCAGCTTCATCCAGACAGGAGAAAAAGAACCAAAATAAGAGCAATTCTGCAAATATATGAAACAAACAAACAAACAAAAAAATCCAAGGCAAAAGCATGCAATAAAATTTTCCCATCTGGGACTCATTCTGCTGAATATTAAATCCCGAATGCAACCCAGAAAAATAGAACAAAAATGTGTGCTGTTCAAAAGAGTGGAATTACTCAATATCACTTTGCCAGTCAGCTACACTAGATCATTTATGCAAAATGTAACAAACTTTATTAACTTTTAATAATGTTTATGCAGCACCTTATCTAGATGAGTCTTCTGAAAGGCAGGGAAATTGCTTCCAATTTTCTCCAGCAAAGGAGAAACTCTTCACATAAATCAGAAAGGCTAAATTAGAAGAATATGCAATTGCAGAGCCTGCAGAAGGAGGTAAGGAAAGGCTTGCTAGAGCCCAGTCATCTTAAAGAAAACACCTCTATGGACAGCAATGGAAATCAAGTTGGCTTTGATGTCATGACTGAGGTACAGATGATCCTGTAAACCAGCCCATGTCACATGGAAAGATTTGAGACTTTAGGGACAA